CACAGGAGATACACCACAGAGCTCAGGAAGAATAAAGATTCACTGGGGCCCTCGGCCACCCTGCCTGACCTGCATCTGGTTGCCTCACTTCAAATGGTATAGAAAGATCATAAAAAGCCTGTAAAAGCCACCAAGGCTCCAGGCCTCTGCTTTACCCATCTGCCCCAATCCACAGAGAACCTGCCCTGTGTTTGCTGGCACTACGCCCGCTCTAGGCCGGGACATTGACTCACAGATGATGTGATACTTTCTCAGCACGTCTTCTCCCCAGTGAAATGCCGTTTAGATGTCACTTGTACACCAGCATTAACTCAACCAAGTTTCATCGAGTCTCTCACTGGGAGTCAGCAGAGATGATGTGTCACACCCCTGCCAGAAAGAACTTTGCAGACAGGTAAGCGGAAAGGTGTGCATATCCAGAGGACTATGAAAACGTGATGATGTAAGTCAGGTTTCTACTGGATGCCTGGCACTTTCCATTCATTATCTATTTGAGTCATCACTGCCAGCTGACAAATTTTATATTTCAGTCATTTTTAGCATGTGGTGAAACTGAGTTTCAGAGAGAGTAAGAGATTAAGATCTCATATCAAGCGTCCAGAATCTCCTCACTCCAGTGTATGCCTACAAGCCACTCCAGTGGGGAAATTTGAGTCCTCAATGCCCCAGACCACACCCTGGATCACCAAAGCTCAGTGCAGCAGGGACCTTACTCATATATTTCATTGTTTTTATGATCCAAGTAAACAGAACCCACTAGCTCCAAATTGTACTCACCTGGCAACCACCAAAAGGTCAGGCTGTAGTTTCATTCAAAATTAAATTAATTTTGGTGGTGAGTGTGGCATGGCAACATATATCTGATGAGGTGTGAGCTTATTCCCCCCAATCATATACAGATTGTAGGTCAATGCTACCTCAAAAAAAAAAAAAAATAGATTAAAAAGATAAAATGAAACCCATGGTTCACTTTCTCTTTTCACCCAAAACCACTTCCCGAAGGTTGCCAGAATAAAGTTCATTTTCTCCTGCCTGTGTGCAAAGAACCTGTACTTCGCTTTCCAAGTGCTCTCTTTCACTGGACAAGTCATTGAAACATCTCTAGGCTTCAGGATCAGGGCGTGCAAGAAGGAACTGAAAGTACTTAACACACTCTTAGATTCTAGCAATTGATTTATGATCCCAAATTATCAAAGTAATACATGAAGACTAATCTCTCTCCTGTGGATCTTATAAGCTCTTCAGAAAGACTTAAGAGAATTCCTGTCTCATGAGAAGTGCCCTGGACCTTTTGTGAGAGGAAATGTTTTTATGATTGATACTCAGCTCCCCCAGTGAGGCGCTACGGTAGGCCTCGGCAAGGAGGGAGTTAACCGAACGTGCCCTGGAGCCATCCAGAATATTCAGCTAAGAGGGTGTTCACTCTGCTGTGAACCCCAATTAAAAATAAAACTCCTAGCTGGGCAAGCCTGCCCCGTCCTCAGGATAAACAAGATTTGATTCACTGCAATGGCACTCACTGACTGTGCTGAAGAGCAATACAGTATCTGTGCTTCCTCTGGGGAGGCACAAAAGAGGCCGCTTAATTATCATCTAGCCAGAAGGATGGGGCATAGTTAACACCTTTCTGGGTGGGCTGAAATTAATGACCCTTCCCCCCACTATTGCCTACCTCCAAGCCCCTTTATAAATGACTATACAACACAGTAGTTGGTATTCAGATCACAAGAGAGGGCATTTAGCCAAAGCATTTGATCTCTTTTTAATTTTATTCAGATTTACAACTGTGTTATTAAGTGAGATAACTGGACCCTGTCTGAAGTAGGCTGGGGTCTTCCCCACGCAAATCTGAACATCTGAAGTTAACATTAATTTTCAAGATTGGACAGAATGCTTTTTCCTTTAGTGTTTTTTGCAGGCTGCTTTCCCGTGGTCAGGCTGAACGTCTGTTCTGAGGGGCTGTGTGCAGCCTGCCTGGCCACTTCAGCAGAGAGTGGGCTTGGGGGACAAAAACCAGCACTTGCAAAGTGCATTGCGGAAACTTTATTTTTATTTATTTATTTATTTTTTTTAAATAGAGGCATGTTTATTTATTTATTTATTTATTTATTTGTCTGTTTGTTCTGTTTACACATGCACTGGGTACAGTCAGAAGCACGGGAGGGTGAGAGAATTCACCAGAGCCAGAGCGGGGAGCAGAGCAGGCAGAAGGACCGAAGTACACTGCTGAGGGGAGCAGCGGGCAGCAGGAGAGGTCTGCGCGCCATGTGGGACCCTCCTCCGGTGGCCGGGGAGCAGCCGGGGATCGAACCGGCGCTGCAGAAGCCGCGGGCAGCTTCGTAACCCAGCGCTCAACCGCTGCGCCACCGGGGAGGCCCAACATTGCGGAAACTTTAATGGCAGATGGTCACAGGACTGGGCGAGGAGAGAACTGTGCCTTAACTAATAACACAATTTTAATTTGATGTAGCCTCTTTAACTATAAACTTGTGCATATGTATTTACATTAATATACATATATACACATATGCAAATATATATACACACACACACATATATATATATGCATATTCACAGACATATACACCTAACTGGTATCTAGTTTCATTATCTCCTTTAGCTGTACTTCTGTGGTTCACAAAGCAACGCCTGCAAGATTTGGTGATGTCACAGACGTTGTGTGATGTCATTAGGTACCTCGGTCATCCACACCACAATCTTGAAATTAGGACACCGTTAGCCTCCACATTACACTTGAGGAAAGTGCCCTTCCAAGCCTAAGTGAATCATTCAAAGCTAATGAATATTAGAGTGAAGAATCAAGTCCATTTTTTTTCAGACTCTAAATTCAGTGCCATTCAATGGTGTGACTCTGCCTTTTCCCAAAGCCACGTCACAATGATGTGGGGGCGCCTGTCCCTTCTTCCAATTTCCCTTCTCTTGAGGCATCACAGCCTAGTGGTGAGACCCGGGGCTCACCTTCCCCTTGCTGACTGTGTTATGGTGGAGGCAGCTAACCTCTTTAAACTTTGGTTTTCACACATAAACATAGGGATAACAGTTTATACTTAATGGAAAATTTTTTAAAGATTTATTTATGCATATGAGAACTGGGGTGCAGGCCAGAGGTATGGGGGGTGAGAGGACTCACCAGAGACAGAGTTGGGAGGAAACAGGCAGATCTACTGAAACACACTGCTGAGGGGAGCAGCAGGCGAGCTGGAAGAGGTCTGCTGCGCCTTGTGGGTAGCTCCCAGGCCGGGGATAGCTTCATAGTGCTGTGCTTAACCCCTTGCACCACTAGAGAGGCCCTAACATACTTAATGGAAATTTTTTGAGGCCAAAAAGAATGCAGAAACAAATACAATATAGTAGGCTCTCAATAAGTAGCACGTTTCACTCCTTTGGCAGTTTATATGGGCTCTTATATGACAATATTTGTTCTCTCATGTCCATATATAATGTCTCCTATAATTCTTAGACCTTGATTCAAAAAATGTCCATTGCACAATTTAAGGATCCACACCTGAAGTAGGGCATTTCGTAATCGACAAACTAGGACCCTCCATTAATACATTTAGACTGAGAAAGCCTATGCAGAAGCCCCTTCAGATATTATAAAATGAGAATCTTTTTCTGTATCTCCCCACTCCTCTAACACATATGGGTCACCTGGGTGGGACCCTGAGGCCAGGGATGTAGCCTTTTAAGATCTAAAAAAGGTGTAGCCAAAGTATGGGCAGATCTAAAGTGAAGGATTAGAGAGCCAGGCCGCCTGGAGATGAACTAAAGGGTCATGAAAAACGATAATTGGGTCAGATTTCATTGAATGCTTTGCTGCTGTTCCAGTTTGCTTTTACACATCTTATAGAATGGGAGCCAATTCTTCTGCTAGGCAAGCTTGCAAGCTCCAGTTGAAATTCCCACAATCAATATTACTATCTCATTCTCAAAACTGAATTTCCTCTCAGAATGACTATCTTGCAAAATAAGACATGTCCAGAAAACACTTGAGTATGTTGGAGAAATGATCCTCTTTCTGTTTCAAAACATTGACTCTAGGGTATCTTCATTTGTTCAGTGGATGTTTAATGAGCACCTATGATGAGCCAAGCAGTGGGATTCAGTAGTGAGCCAACATTGTCCTTGTTCTATAGGAGCCTACCCTCCAGTAGGACAGATGGCACTTCATGGAATGAAACACAGGCATCTAGATACAAAATGAACCGGCAACCTAACCACACGGGACAATCGTTCTATGGTAAAAACTAATAAATAAACATGATTGAAATAGGGGGTGGGGAGATGCTTAGGAGGTGTTTCTGATGCACATGTTGCTTGAGCTGCTGGCGATCTAAGAAAGCAGGTGAGACGAGAAGGAAGGTTCGTAAGAGAAGGGCAAATGTGCAGAAACCAAACTGTTATTTTTAATTTTCATTGTGGGATTACATTTTTGCTCTTCCATATGTGCACATGGTCCACTCACCCTCCACCCAACCAACCTGTGCCCGCACCCCCACTGGCTCCCTCTCTTATCTCCTCCCTCTGGTGATCATTAAATTCTTTCATGGTGTTCAATGTGTGTTCCTACAGTATTTTACCTGTGTATGATTTTGGGTTATTTCTATTCCACAGACAAGTGAAACCATTAAATCTTGATGGTGGGAACAAGAGTAGCTTATCAGGGATCCATAAAGGAGCCTCCAGGGTTGGAGGAGAGAGAAAGAAGAGAAGAGGAATGTGCATTGCAGATAGAAAAATAAACAGTGGTGGGACCAGGAAGTGCTACCTCGAAGGTGTTGGTCTTTCTCTGAGAGTAGCAGGAAACCTGTTGATTGTGTTGAGCAGGGAGGTAACAGAGTCAGATTTGTCCTTTGAAAAGATTATTTGGGCTGCCGTGGGAAGGATGCACTGCGGAGACAAATTTTGCAGGTAGGAGCTTAGCAATGACAGTAAAAATAACAAAAAAAGAAATGAACTCAAGATATATTTTGCAGGAAAAATGGAAAGGATTGATCTGCAGATGCAGAGCTGCCTGACCTCTGACCTTCTGAAAATCACACATCTCAACCCATCATCACTTACCAAAAAGGAACTTGTCCCACGTGCCCTTGGCCCCAGGCTTCCCACTAAGGTCCTCAGGTAAGTGAATGCTATGTGTCATTAGAAACTTCTTTATGTTCATCAAATCTCAATAAAACTGGAAAAATGAGTTGGATTTTTGGGACAGGAGTGAAGGAAGAAACAAAGAGCATAACGAATAAGTTGGGAAAGATTTTCTACAGGTGAAGAGGATCCTGGGAAACAGACCAGAGAAGGAGCCCAGAAAAGGTGTTCAGGATCCTCAGCAAGGTCCTTCTGAAGTCAAGCATTGATGAGAGAAATTGGAGCATCGGTATAGAAGGTCCCCAGCTGGAAGTGCCCTTTGGAGCAGTTCTTGGTACATGAGCCCCAGGGCACTGCAGGAAGTCATCCCTTCACAGTTCTGTGTGGTAGGAAAGAAGAGGCACCATTTTGTCTTCCAATGCCTCCTCCTACTTCCCTTCAAGGGAAGCAAAGACTTCTCACCTCTGCAAACATCTTCCACGGAAGACAGTAAGCACTTTTCTGTGCCTAGGTGGAGAACAGCCACCTCCCTCTCTTTGACTGCAGAGACTGTCCCTTCCGGATTTCCTTTGTGAGAAACAGTTCCCATAACAACGCAGGAAGCCAGATCTCCTGTGGCATTCTGGAATCTTCCTTGCCTCTGTGGTAGGAGGAGATTGCCAGCAATGGTGCCCAGGTTCCCTTACTGCCTGCCTGGTGTCTGGAAGTGGGCCAATCCCTCAACACCACAGGAAAATCCACTCCTCTCCCAGGTCACTGTAAATTATGCAACATCTCAAATGGCAAAGCTATATTTTAAAATCTACCAACTAATGACAAAGTGAAGCAGCTATTATAAAACATTCTCATAGACAAAGAAATAGATGTGTCTCCTGGCATTTTAAATGCAGATGCTGATAAATACTCCATAAGAGGCTGTATAAATACAGGTGCATAAAGACATTTGTGTGCATTTTGAATGTTATGTATATTCCTTATGAAAGATGATCTATATAACTTTTTTTAAAAATGTTATTTTAAGAAACAATAATAACAGATTTTAGGGTAATTAGAACTGCACCTTAGATACATAATCCGCTAATAAAGCAAACACCTTTGGAATAAAGTTAGAATTTCAGACAGGATGCCACTGGATTGCATCGTAATACACAGACACACATAGAAATATCCTATTTTTAATAAATCTACTCTGTAAGTTGGTCTTTATTTTTAAATTATTTTTGTTACGGCTATTTACCTATTGTGATTAATAAATGTTATGCTAGATCAAAAATGATTGACTGGGAAGAAGTAATGTCTGTAATATAAGGTTGTAACAATAGATCACTTTCTCCTCACATTATTTTATATCTGTAGACACGCTGGAATAGCCCACATGATTCCATTATACAAGTATTTTTCATAATGATATTAAATTACCTTCACCTCTTCCACAAATTGTACATAGTGATTTGTGCTATCTCCATCTTCTTCTGCTATTTGAAATGAGAATTTGCCATGTGATTTTTAACCCCAGCTTTCCCAAATGTACCCATGTTACACTTGAAAAGATAAACAAAACACGGCAATGGGTGAAAAATATATATGCTATTGTTAACAAGATGGAAGTCAAGACATTCTGCTAGATAAGAAGGTCTCGATTTAGGTTTTCCTTTTAATGCATGTAAGTCAGCTTGCTATGTTACGTTGCAACATAATATCATGAACTTTTTCATACAACTTTAGAAATCCAGACTTTACCCATCCATATTCTTTTCCCTAATGTGGATGGTGATTGCATTGAATTTTAACTTCATCCCGTCTTGTATCTATCTATGCAAAAGGACAAATATATCCTTAATAAAGTTTTTAGTAAGGTACAGTTTTTATCCTTCTTAGGCTAAACTGATGTCGGTTTTGGGAGAATAGACTATTTTGCATTTGGCGTTTGCAAGGTGTGTCTTCCGGGTCAGAGGCAGCCTATGCATAAGAGATGCTGTATTCTCAGCACAGCACATCTGGATACAGAAAATACCCTTTACCCAGTCAAGATGCTCTATGATTTCTGCGTTGCATAGTAGCTATGTTCCCTTTTCTATTAGTAAGTAATTAGGGGTGGGTGAACTTTAAATAAAAAATATTCAATAACCCCTTGATTCATTACAATTTCCTCCTAGACATGTTTCAGTCTTTTTCTTTCCTGCTTCTTTATAAAAGTTCCTGTTGCACTCTTGGTTCATGTGTCTCCCTAAAGATGCCTTCATCTTTCCAAGTTTTCTTGACCACAGAGGTGACCTCAGTTATCAGATGATTCTTGGGAAGTTATTAATTTGCTCCCCATCAGGTTTTCCTATTACAAGGATCAAAACTTCCATTCTTTCTGCTTGTTCGAGCTGAAATTAAAATTCGCTGGGTTTGGCATTCACATGTTCAGTCCATCTGGGGCTGATTCATGTATATGCGGTTAATTTTAGTTGACTTATTTTTATTTGTACCCTTTTCCTTTCAGATTTATTCTTATACTTGTCCCAAGGAAAGACAAAAAATTTGAAATTGCCTGCATCACGTGGCAAATGAGTGATTTTTGCATGATGCATCAAAAGAGATTCTTGGGATTCTATAAATAAAAAATTCACGGAGACTACTAATTCTTTCAGACAGAACAATCTAGAAAAAGGCTTTCTAAAAGATACCCACAATACTTCTCTGATATTTCAGAGTGTCCACCACATTAGTCCCCAGCGGGGTTTCACTAAGGTTCTCGGTAATGATACTTGCACTTGGGTGAAATTTCTAGCCTGGTTTTGTTTTTATTTTCATCTATTCTTAGGTACCATTCTATTTTTCCTTATCTGGTTTCTTTCTTATATCCGCAAGAATGTTTTAATCCACCTTCTGTCTGTAGTGGTGAGATTATGAGTTGAGGTCAGAAAAATGTGAGTTTGAAGCTTGTTTGTAAAACATTGGTCAAGTTATTTAATTCTGCGTCAGTGCCACATGTACTACCAAGTGGCTTGGTACTATCTTATGACACTTTTTTCCTTTTAAAAAATATTCTCAAATCTGATTTTTCATTGCAAACACCTATACCTATAATTTGGGTGTACAATTTCTAGTTCTTCACATGGCCACTGAGCATCACTGACCACAGGTTCTCTCTCCCTGGTGAATCTGTTCATCCCTGCCTTGCAATGCCCTATGTAAGCTGATAATTTTCAAATTCTCCCTCCAGTCCTGAACTTCTCTGAATTCCAGTCTGAATCTACATGTCTGTGCAACATCCTCTTCACCTGAATATGCAGCAGTCTAGATTGCAAATCTAATGTTTCCAGTATTGACCCTTTGATTTCCCTGGGGTAACAGGCTTTAACTTTAGAGGTCCTTTCTCAATAAATAGCATTAAGTGCTATCCAGTTGTTTTGAATAAAACAATTTGGAGACATTCTTGACTCCCTGTCTTTCCAGTTCTTATGCAGTTGATCAGCAGACATATATCCTGAATCTTCAAAACATATCTACTCTCACACCCTGGTCCATACTGACCTTAGCTCTCACCTGGAAAATGAACATTGTTCCTAACTGATACCCCTGGTAGTTAGGACTCACAGTATGGATTCTACACTAGGTTCTTCTAGCTCCAGAGTTACTACTTTATAACTCATAATAACTCATAACCATATCTTCTTTTTTTTTATTGTTATATTCCCCATACAATTGCAGCCCCCCCATTCTGACCCCAATCCCTCCCCTCCCGCCCCCGCCCCCTAAAAGTGTCTCTGGTTCATAGTTTTTTGTTGATTTTGATTTTCACTTTCTTATAGTTATTCATTTTCCTGGTCCCTTATTTAAGTTTTCTAGATTCCTGCTGTGAGTGAGACCATCCGGTATTTTTCTTTTTCTTTTTGGCTTATTTCGCTGAGCATGATCCCTTCCAGCGCCATCCATGTTGCTGCAAATAACCATATCTTCTAAACTCCAAGATACAAGTATGGAGTTTAGAAGATATGGTTATGCAAATAACCATATCTTCTAAACTCCATACTTGTATCTTGGGAGTCTTGGTCCCCATGGTGTCCCCAGTTTCTGCAGAGACAATTGCTCAGCGTGTGCTTGTCTAACTAACTTCACCCATTCTTGAAAACACAGATGGACTCAATATTGCCTCTCCTATATAAGTTCTGGTTCCAAGCCAAAAGCGATGTTTCTCCTTGGAATCCCACAATACATGTTTCACATCATGTTGTTCTACAATTTCTTTCATTTGTACAATATTATTAAATTAGAAAATTTAAAAAAATAGGTTTATATGGAAAATCATAAAAACACAGACAGAGGAATGAATTTTAAAATAGACATACCTTTCTCTTCTTTCATCTCACCTTCTGATTCCAAGAAATAGCCCATGCTAATTTCTTGTATTCAAGATATGTTCTAGATTTGTCATATATTTTTGTTGTATGACTTTGCTGTTTACAATGTTTACTTCACTGAGTCCATAAAAATGTATCAATTTGGCCAGTCCTTTCCTTCTATTGCTGTTTAGAATGCAGTGTTCATCCAGGGATGGCAGTATCTTAGGCACCTAGGTGTGCTATGCTGAGAAATAGAGGCAAATAAGGGCCATGGTGGAAATGTAAAAAGGTTTCTTGCTAAGCAGTGTTCTGCCTGTGACACTATTCCACGCTATAGAATCCAGCCAGAATATAAGCATAAAGTAAATTTATTTATATGCCCTGAACAATACCCTCCATCATGCCAATATGCTGCTGAGCTGATTTATAACGCCCATACCCATCTGCCTTTTTAAGAAACCATTTAATTTAAAAAATTACAAGTATAGAGATTTTGTCCTTGACCTTCTTACAGATATTACTGAAAAATCAAGCTAAAAACTCTCCAAAAACTCATAAATTACCTCACTTCTACAGCTTACATCATCCTGCCTCTTCCTTGACAGATGAATTAATTTTAGGAAGTCCTGTGGAGTCATCCTCAGCCATTCATTATCCCAGGCTTGTGGCAGGGCCCCATATAGGCATTTGCCAACTTGTCCTTTTAATCGTCTCCTGATGATGAATTGGCCTTGAGTGATTCTGAGCTCTATCCCTGTCCCTTCACTGACTTCCTTTCTCTTTTGGCCATCGTTTGCTTCCCTAGGGAACTTATTGGAAGCCACAGCATCACAGCAGAAACAAAGACACACTTGATAATAATTGCCTCCATCACCTAAAACCAGGTATTCCTTCTGCACACAGGCCCAACTTTTAGTGGACACCGCATTGTGCTCCGTTTCTTTCACCTTCTGTGCTTGCACTTGTAGAACTGAATGTAGCTGATTTTGCTCCCAAGTCATAAACCCCCAAATGGACCTCAAGTCCTGTGATTTCCTTTCCTACTTCTGACCTTGGCTTGGTCACACCCCTTCTACTTCCACCTCAAGACTTCTTGACCTCCAGCCTTTCCTGCTTGAGAGAGCTGACATTTCAGACACATTTTAGACACACCCCTGTATCACTCAACATCCAGTCAGGAAAACAGAGGCCACACTGGATATTTCAACAGATAGAATTAAAATTTAATCTTATTTACATTGGTGTCGAGGAAATCAAATGGCATAAAGGAAACATGAGGCAAATAGAGATGAGAATGGCGAGAAGAAATCACCATTTCTTGGGGAAGGGAAATGATAGAATAGGCATGATGTAGAAATAGAGGAGATATAATAGAACTGCAACCTAGTCTTCTGAGAAGAAAATGCTCCTAATTTAGGATGGGTTCAATTGAATTCTGGATGTTTCTGAATGTGTAGAAATAGCCAAGACCTGAATCAAGTCAAGAAATCATGGGGAAGAGTCTTTGCCAGGGGTAACCCTGACAAGAAAAGCAGGAGAACACTCCTTCAATATTTCTTCTGCTTCCTCATCTCCCTCTAATGTCCCCTTAGCAAAACCTGTATTGTGAAAAACAAACAAGGATGTAAAATAATGATACATCGTTAATAAAATAAATAAATAAAATAAAAATGAAGTAAAAATCTAAAACAAAAAAATCCAATAAGTCAGCTGACAGAGGAGCACTAAATTGAGCACTCCCTCTTCACAGAGGAGAATAAGGGTGATGATTTGAAAGTAAGAGAAAGTAATAATTAGCACTTCAGGCTCCCTCAGTTTGCTTCATCTCAAACTACCCACCATTATTGAAAAAAATTCACACCTCCATTTCTCTACCCAAAATGCACTTCTTTTCCATTCTCACCTGCTGAAGTCTTCCTTGGATGTGATTTTATTTTCCATATTTTTATTTTATTTGTCCAATTTTTAGGTGAGAAAAGAAAAGGATCATTTCTTTGTCTGAGTTCTGTGGTTCTTTACACTCATGACCACTGGGTTCTGTGTTCCGTCTGTGGCTATGAGGTGTCTGACCAGATAGAAGTCAGACTCCTTCAGGTTGAAGACTGGTGTATCCTGCTATCATTATAGGGTATGAAAATAATGGTTCAATTTATGTTATAATAGTGACTTGACAGTAAGTAAGAAGTGATGCCTACCACTTCTTTCCAATTCCACTCTTCAGAACCCAACCGTGTGACACCAACCCATCACAAGGAAGGCTGATAATACACAGATCTTCCTCCACCTCTGATGAGGTTATTCCAGATAAACTCATTGTAAGATGAAAATATTTTAATGCTGAAAATGCATTTAATGCACCTAACCTACCCAATATCACCTTAGCATACCTTAAACGTCCTCATAATGTTCCCATTAGCCTACAGTTGGGGAAAAGCACCAAACGCGAAGATTATTTTGTAATAAAATGTTGACTAGCTCACGTGATATATTTACTAATGCATTGAAAGAGAAGAACAGTCTTTAGTGTATCAGTTAATTGCTCTTAGGACTGGCACTGCATTTCACTGCTGCTGTCCAGCATCAGGAGAGCATCTCCCCCAATGGATTGCTATCCTTGCAAAAGATCAACATTCAAAATTCAAAAGAGGGTGTCCACTAAATATGTATTGCTGCTGCACCATCTTAAAATTGAAAAGTTGTAAGTCAAACCATAGTAATTGCCTGTATTCTTCTCATGTCCTGCAGGAGAAGGTGGGGAGGGAATAAAGATTAGTTTGAGCCTCTAAATGGCCTCTTTCACCCTCTCCACTTTCAACTATACCACCAAGCAGAGGAAGCCATACGGGAAATATCACACATGCTTGCATGCATATGCGCATGTTGCATAGTGAATCATGAGTCATTCAACCCTAGTTATGGAAAAGATTTGCAAGCTGATCACATCAGAGCAACATATTTTTACTACTTTAATCATTTTTAAAAAAGATTTAGTTATTTATGCATATAAGAACTTGGTAGTGCAGGCCAGAGTTGTGGGGGGTGAGAGGATTCACCAGAGACAGGGTGGGGAGCAGAACAGGATGACCTACTGAAATATACTGGTGAGGGGAGCAGCTGGTGAGGCAGGAGGGGTCTGCTGCATCATGTGGGTTAGCTTCCTGGCTGGGGATAGAACTCATGCTGTAGTGCCTCGTGATAGCTTGACAGTGCTGAGACTTTAAGCCCTGTGCCACCAAGGAGGCCCCCTACTTTAATCATTTTTATAGACATTATTGAAATATGTCAACAACTGGACTCTGCATCTGTAGGAAACTAAGTCATCTAGTTCTTGAGGTACTGAGTCGCAGTAATTTAAATAAATAGAACATCCTCACATTTACATTTTCCATTATAGTTAGATAGGGGGAAAGACAGTATAATTTAGAATCACTCAAATTAAGTTGAATTTCATTGTTTTTGGTATGTTTCACTCAATAGCCCCTTTTACACACAAATATTAGTGATTTTTTTAATAAATCATTGCCCCTGATGTGCCATTCATCAAATATGTATTTAGTATATGTTAAATATGAATTAATATATTACAATATTGATATTCAAGCATATATTAAATATATATCAGATTGTATTTCTTACATTCCCATATTTCAAGTGAATAAACAAAAGAACTCATTGATTTTGGTAGGCTCAAGAAACAGACTCAATTCATATTTGGAGTATGGCTTTTGTATAATGGAGACAATACTAGTTTGGAAGGTAGAGATTCAGTGTTGTTGTTTTCCTAAAATTGCAATCCCTCCATCATACTGTCTTCCTTTTCAGATTAATTTTTCTCAGAATACTTGCCTCCTTCTAACATACAACAGTTTTCTTTTTAAGTAATTCTCAAGTCATTCCCACAAGAATGCAAGTTCCACATGAAGAGGAACTTTTATCCAGCTTTTGTCCTATATTCTCAGCACTCAGATATGCCTAGAACAGTGCCTGACACATTGTGGAAGCTTACTAAAAATACTGATATATTTAATATATTACACAAATAGAAGCAATACAAAACAAAGTAAATGTCCACTTAAAGGATTGTTTTGAGTTTCCAGTAAAATAAATTTACTTTGTGAAACTTTTTTTTTAATTTACTTTTTTTTTTATTTATACAATAGCTGGGGAACAGGCTAGAGGCGCAGGAGGGTGAGAGGATTCACCAGAGCCAGAGCGGAGAGCAGAACAGGCAGACAGACCGAAAGCACTGATGAGGGGAGCAGCGGGCGCAACAGGAGAGGTCTGCCGCACCATGTGGGAATCTCCCTGGCCAGCTGGGAATTGAACCCACCCTGCAGAGGCTGCGGACAGCTTCACAATCCTGTGCTCAACCCGCTGTGCCACCGGGGAGGCCCTGAAACTTTTAATTATAAGCCTCTAGTTACATATATTAGAGTTGCTGCTAATAATAGAACCTTGAAATTATTATGTTTTTACTTAACCCAGACTCTGCAAAGTGCTGTGCATTCTCCCATTTGATTTCTACAGCAGCTCAATGGGGTGACTGTGATCATCATTCCCCTTTTAGAGGTGAGGAAGCTGAACCTCATTGATCTCCTTATGTGCTCACCTTATGTGAGTTAGGTTTATAGTTTTGAGTGAAGCTGGTGCGGTATTAAGGGTAAAAGTTCACTTCCTCACTTAGTCTCCCCTTGGTCTGCTAAAATTACTGCCATTCTATGATGTATTTCTTTTCAAGATGAGTGAAATGGATATATGTTACTGTTTAGAAAATCTTTGGAATCCATAATTTAATGAAACTGATTTGTGCTATAGGCAACAGTCTAAACTATGAGAGAATCAAGAGAAGTTCATCTTATTTATTGCTACAAGAAGGCCTGCTTATCACTGATTTTTTTTTTAATTGAGTAACACTGGTTTATACTATTGCATAAAATTTAGGGGTATACCGTTCACACCTCTTCAAATGTATGTTGTCACACCACACCTCCCACAAAGGCACCCATAATCTATAATTATGGCAAAGATTTCTTAAACAAAACATGATAAATTGCATTTTACTAAAATCAAGACTATTAATGATTAGGGGAAGAAAATGAATCCCAAAGAATGGAAGAATATATTTGCAATATGCATATTTCACAGAAAACTCATATACCATACACACACACACACACAGATCTCCTTAATGAAATAAGAGTGACAACATGTGAAAAATCAGCAAGTTCTATGAATATATAATTAAGAACGGGGGATCTCCAAATAGCTAATAATCATGACAAAATATTACTCAACTTTTTAATACTCAGAGACACAGAAATGACATGAACTTGAGCATTAAATGTAAATAGCAAACATTAGAAAAACAGAAAACACAGGTGATCATCATCATATACAGGTGATGATGTGGAGCAACCAAAGCTAGCATCTACTGCTGGTGGAACTACTTTAGAAAATCATTCAGTAGTAGCTATTAAACCTGGATATATGTCTACTCTGGGTCAGAGCAATTTCACTTTTAAGAATATATGCCACAGGGCCTCCCCAGTGGCGCAGTGGTTGTGTGCTGGGTTGAGAAGCTGCCCGCAGCCTCTGCAGCGCTGATCGATCCCTGGCCACAGGGCAAGAGTCCCACATGGTGCGGAGACCTCTCCTGTTGCCCGCTGCTCCCCTCAGCAGTACTTCATCAGTCTGCCTGTTCTGCTCTCCACTCAGGCTCTGGTGAATTCTCTCACCCTCCCACGCTTCTGACTATACCCAGTGCTTGTATAAATAAATAAATAAATCTTAAAAAAAAAAAAAGAATATACGCCACAGAAAAGCTCATATAGGTTTGTCCAAAGATAGTATTATTTGTAGTGGCCAAAAGTGGGTTACTAACTAAATGCTCAGAATATTAGAACAGATAAATGAATTATGGCATATTCACACAATGGGACTGAATGGCCCATAACTCTGGGCAACAAAATAAATGAACTTCAGACATAATGACACAAAAATCCACATACATGTGGGTCCGCAGGTGTTTAAAACCAGACCAAACTCACTTGTACTGTGTGACTTCCAGGCAGATACTATATTTGGTGGGGGGAGCAGATGAACAGCATCTAGAGTGCTGGGTTTACTTCCATGTCTGATCGAGGCATATCCAGTTTATACTAGTATGAAACCTGCACTCTTCTGAATGTACATCATATTTTAAAATTAAGCTAAGAAAAATGAAGGTGAAAAGAGATTCCCTTTGTGTCCATATCACACATAAACAACAAGTGTGGATGAGGATGTGGATTAAAAAGGAACCCTCATACACCATTGGGGAGCATGTAGACTGGTTCAGTTCATATGGAAAACAGCATGGAGGTTTCTCAAAAGATCAAAGTAGATCTACCATATGATCCAACAATTCTACTCCAAGTATCTACTCAGAGAATGCAAAAACACTGGGCCTCCTGGTGGTGCAAGGAGTTAAGCAGAGCACTATGAAGCAATCCGTAGCCTCTGCAGCATGAGTTCAAACTCTGGCTGGCCAGGGAGCTACCCACATGGCACAGCAGACCTCTCCTGACTCGCCTGCTGCTCCCCTCAGCAGTGTATTTCAGTCAGTCTGCCTTTTCTGTTCCCCACTCTGTCTCTGGTGAATCCTCTCACCCACCCTGCACCTCTGGCCTATACCCCAGTTCTTGTATGCATAAATAAATAAATCTTTAAAAAAAGAATGTGAAAACGCTAATTTGAAGGAATAGCTGCATTCCTATGTTCATTGCAGCACAATTTATAACCAAGTTATGAAGTTCTGGGAATGACCCAAATGCCATGTAGCAGATGAATGGATTAAAAAGATGCAGTGTATACACATAATGGAATACTACTCAGCTATGTATATAGAAGAGATGAACTCTTACCTTTTGCAACATCGGTAGAACTGGAGACTATTATACTCAGCAGAGTAAGTCAGAAGAGAAAGACAAATACCAGATCATTACGCTCATATATAGGCTATATATATAAAGAGCAGACAAA